TTTTCATTTTGTAGTCTGTTTTTAAATTTGATATAGGAGCATTTTTCCATGCTCCTACACAGTCTTCACAATTATCACTTTAATGACCCCATAATATTCCACTTGAGTGGACACATCAAGTTTCACTTAACTGTTTCCTTTCTGGCAGTTGCTGTACTGTTGCAGACAGTGCTGGTATAATGAAGTTCTTCCTCCTCCTCCTCCTTCTCCTCTTCTCTCTCTCTCTCTCTCTCTCTCTCTCTCTCTCTCTCTGTCAGGACAGGGTCTCACTATGTAGCCCTGGCTGTCCTGGAACTCTTTCTGTAGACCAGGCTGGCCTCGAATACATGGAGATCTGCCTGCTTCTGTCTCCCATGTGCTGGGATTAAAGGTGTGCACCACTACACCCAACTTATGAAGCATATTCTTTTTTCTTTTGTCTTCTTCCTCCTCTTTACTTCTTCACCCCATCCCTTTTTCTTTTTCCAGATATCTTTGTTTCTTCTGTGTGGAAAGAGTAATCATCTCTTTAGCCTATATGATTTAGTAAAACAGTGACTAAAAATTAATTTTTAAAATGCCCTAAGAATGTTTGTGATTGTGAAACAGTGTAAATGGCAATCCTTTTTGTTCTCAAGGAGTAGGAACACAGGACCAGGCAAGACCATGAATGACTGGGTTGGAGAAGGCTCAGACTTGTGACAGAGACACTTTGTTTATGATGGGAGAAAACAAGGTGAGGTAAATGGCTGTTAATAGGGGATGCTGAAGAGACTGATACCCAAATCAAGGACAATGCAGGAGAGGACCTAAAACCCCAGCTCAGATGTAGCCCATAGACTCAGTCTCCAAGTGGGGTCCCTAGTAAGGGGAGCAGGGGCTTTCTCTGGCATGAACTCAGTGGCTGGCTCTCTGATCACCTCCCCCTGGGAGGTGCAGCCTTGCCAGGCCACAGAGGAAGACAATACAGCCAGCCCTGATGAGACCCCCTCTATCAGTGGACTACGGGAGGCACATAGGAGAAGAGGGAGGGAGGGTAGGATTGGGAGGAGATGAGGGAGGGGGCCACAGCAGGGATACAAGTTGAATAAATTGTAATAAATGACAATAATAAAAATTTAAAAAAAAAGGGAATGCTAACAAAATGATGCCTGATGCCATGCCTGTGCTGGGACAAATTGTGGCATTTGAAGAGACTGCAGAGCTTTGTGCACTGATGTAGACAGGTAGATCTTTAAAATTCTGTTTTTACATTCATTTATTTGTTTGGTGTGTGTGTGTGTGTGTGTGTGTGTGTGTGTGTGTGTGTGTGTGTGTATGCGCATGCGCGTGCGTGCGTGCGTGCGTGCACGCACCAAAGCTCTAGTGAAGATCAGAGGATATCTTTCAGCGGTCAATTCTTTTTTCACCATCTCGGGCATGAGGATTGAACTTGGCCTGTCAGGCTTGGCACTGGGTGATTTTATCCATGGAGTCGTTTTGCTGGCCCAAGTAGATAGAGCTTTTTACAACAAACTCATTTGTAGATTATTTGTAGGTAACAGTTTACGTAAGAACAATAGAAACCCAAACCTGCATAGAATGTGAGTGCTGTAATGTATATGTGTATAACACATGGGTGTAAGTTATACAAAATACAGTAAATGCTTGGAAATGCCCCAAAGCATTCACAGTGGTCCCCTCTGTGTGCAGCAGAAGGGTGTGGGATGGGAATTGGTCAGAGGGAATTTGAGCTGAACTGTAGTGGCTTCACTGTTTTAATTAAGAAAACTATATTCAGGAGAGGCCTGGTAGTACACACTTGGTAATCCCAGCACTTGGGAGGCTGAGGAAAGATAATCAGGAGTTCAAGGCCTGTCTGGTCGACAGGAGAACGGGCTCAAAAAATAAATAAAAGAAAAGTACATTAACATGTTACTTTCAGAATAAAGAATTCATCTTAACATGTTCTTGGCTGGGAGATGACTCAGTCTCTCTCTCTCTCTCTCTCTCACACACACACACACATATGCACATACAATTTCCCATTGCCTTGTTTTCCTATTTGCCATTGTAAAGGGCCTGGCTCTGAGGAAATGAGATTAGAATGTGTTTAAATATGCAAAGGTCCTTCTGGAGAGAGTAGGCTGTTTGCTTTCTTCAGGTAGGAAGATAGGTTGTAGGTTGTTTGGGACAGTGTTGGTGGCCTGGCAGAGAAGAAGGAGGATGAAATCCCCCTATTGGATACTGCTGTCTCTCAGCCAAGCCTTCCAACCCACTCTAGGCAGGTGGAAGTTGGGAGTTTTGAAGTGGAGTCTTTGCCCTGAGTCCTAGATGGAGGACAACAGATGGGGCCACACAGCCCTGCTGCCCAGACCGAGGGGAACAGGTGGAGGCTGAGGGTCAGAGTGTGAATGCTGGCGATTCATGAGTGCTGCAGGTGGGCGGAGTGCCCAGCACTGGGGCAGTGACAGCTGGACAGCATGTGGGCGACAGAGGGAACAGGAAAAAGGGTGAGGGTGGAGGCCCAGAGAGCTGAGGACAGCTTCCCCACCCCTTCACAGCTGTGGCAGGAATGAGGTCAGAGGTCTCAGGCTGCTAGGAAAGGTCTAGGAAGCAGCAGGATGAAGGAACACACTGAGCGGGCAGGGTGCCATCTTCTAGTTCCCTTTCCTCCTCCTTAAGTCCCAGCTGTCCTTTGGTAGCCCTAAACCTGAGGCATTTGGGCCACCCCAGCAGCTGTGCCAGGCCTTTGGCTTGGTCAGGGATTGGGCAGCTGAGGGAAGCAGCTGCCACTCCTCCCTCTGGAGACTGGGTAGAAGAGCAAGGAGGTGGCTAGGTCGGGGAAATCTCAAACGCATGGCAGGGCCATGCCATACTTCTCTGTGGAAAACTCCTACCTATCTACTCGCTACCTGTACTCACTTGCTTTCTTTTTTGTTAAGTGTTGGGGTAGGAAGGCCAAAGAACTGTGCAAACACCAACACTTATAAATATGTGTTAAATGCTCAAGTCCTATCAACTTTACAGTGCTACTTCAAATTCTCCCAGCTGCTCATTCAGAAAACTCTACAGTTTGTGTGTTAGAGACAGGAAAATTGAGGCTTCTTGGTCATGTTTTCGGCAGGAACATTTGGACCAAATTTACTAGGCCCTAGAGACCAAGCTTACAGCTTAGAGGAAAGCTGTGTGACCTAGGGTTCTGTGCCCAGATGAGTGTTCTCCGAAGTACCAGAGATGGAAGGTCAGCGCTGAAAGCAGATTCCTGAGGCCGGCTGGTAGGAAGGAGAGGATGCTGGGAAACCCATCTTTGGAAATCTCCCCAGGGCGGGGAGGACTCCCACCCAGCACATGCTCTTTGGGCACTTTCGGGAGATTTTGCCTGAAAACACCAGAAGAAACAGAGAGATGGGAACAAAGGATTCTGGACTGGGCATCAAGAGACCGGAGGGGCATGCTTGCTAAGCATTCCTAGGACTGCTCCCCTGGGCCTTCCAGCTGAGTCCCAGCAGCTGCGTCCCATCAGGACGTTCATCTTACTGTCACCTGGGGGTGCCAGCCCTCGGGCTCAACGCCCCGCCCAGGCTCCAATGCTTCCAGCAGGGGGCCCTCGAGCTCCAGACAAGGGCGCTGAATTGCGCTCCACAGCCTCTCAGCCACTGTGGGCTGCGAAAAGGGAGGAGAATCGCTGTCATGTCACCCGCGATGCCGCGAGGGGCAAAAGAGGCCCCCAAAAGAACGTGATTCCACTGTCTTGCAGCACCTCATTCTAAACCATCTGCCACGTACTATTGTGCTCCAGTCGCCGGTCCTGTGTGATGAGGTCCTCCAACTTTGGGCTGATAAATCAGTGGTAGTGAGCTTGCCTTCCACGGGTGACACCCTGGGTATTTGAGAGGGGAAAATGAAGACACCTAGCCATCGAGCTAGGTGTGTCCCAGCACAAGCAACCAGATTGAGTGAGTGGCTTTTAGGAATAGGAATTGATTTCTGGTCTGTGGGTCCGTTGACCGGGCAGAAGGCCTGCCGGCCACAGTCGACCTCTCTTTCCAGGCCTTAGGCAAGTGTCCCTGCTCCGGGTGCAAATTCCTTCCGGGTTCAGGGTTGAGGTGAGGTGGATTTGAAGGGAGTGTCTGTAGAATGGCATTTAGAATTGTTCTTGAGATCAGGGAATGGGGGCCAGGATAGGCAGAAGGAATGAGCCTGTGTGACCGGTTTGGACTCCACGGAGTGAGGAATAAGTGAATGCTCACCGCCTGCACGCTTGACTTCCATGCCTGCTAGAGAGGAACACAGCCTATGAAAATGTGTGTGTCCTAGGCTTTTTTTCTGACAAGCTTACTGCCCTAGGGCCTCAACTGAGCAAATGGAGCTCCACCCCAGTTGGCGCTCTGCTTGGCATGATGAAAGCTTTTCTGGCTCCAGTGTCAGCCCTCATGCCTCAGACTGGTACACAGGGCACCACAGTAGATGCCACTGTAAGGTGGTTGTGCTCCTTGCTACTGTTGTTTTTCAGTCCCTCTGTTTTGTTCCCTGAGCCGTGTGTGTGTGTGTGTGTGTATGTGTGTCCATACACACAATTATACCTGACCTTTTGTAGGAGTATTGTTAACAGTAGCCCCAAATGTCCATCAAAAAATGTCCATCTGAAGATTGGGTAATCAAAATGTGGACTGTGTGTGAAATGAAATCTTATTCAGCCTTTGAAACTAAGTACTGAGCTAGTGAGATAGCTCAGTAGGTAAAAGAGTTTGATGTGCAAGCCTGATGACCTGAGTTATATCCTCAGAACCAACTCCCAGAAGTTATCCCTCTGACCTCCAAAATAATAGGGGAAGAAGAAGAGGAAGAAGAAGAAAAGAGGAAGAAGAAGAAGAAGAAGAAGAAGAAGAAGAAGAAGAAGAAGAAGTTGAGAATTGATACATGCTACAATTCAGCTGAGCCTTGACAGTATTGAAGTATTTGAAGGAAAGTAATCACAAAGGACCATTAATGAGTATCTGGAACAAGCAAATCCATAGAAGGAACAATTTGTCACTGAATATGGTGTCCAGTCCTTTAATCCCAGAAATTCATGAGACTTGAAACAAGAGACCACAAATTTGAGGCTAGCCTGAGTTACACAGTGAGAATCATCTCAATCTCTCCTCCAAAACATTGGTATTGTCTGGGGCCGGGGAGGGGGAGTAGTTGGTAGTGGGCCCAGGGATTTTTTTTAGAGGAAGATGATGAAAATGTTCGAAAGTGAAATGATGGTTGATAGTTGCACAATCCTGTAAATATAGTCTCAGAACCCCTGCCTGTACACTTTAAATGAGTGAACTTTATGATACATAAATGATTTCCCAATAACGCTGCTAACATTTTTTAAAAACTGGGTGTCCTGAATATATTCTGGTAATTCTAGTTGGTGAACATTTGGATGGTTTCTTCTCTTAAGCTATTTTGAGTAACACTGCTGTGAACAAATCTATTCTGTCTTCCCCTTCCGCATCTTGAGGGCTGGTTCTTCATGATGAAGCACACATAATGTACTGGGCCCTTATCAAAGGGCAGCTTCGGATGGGTGGAGAGGAGCGGCGGAGGCACAGAGCATTTGGAAGCCAGCCTGCCTAGCCACTAACAGAAGTCACGTGATCCCTCCCTGACTTGATTTCCCCTTCTGCCCAGTGAAGGGGAGGGGAAGCAGAAGTCACTTCTTGCCTTCTTACAGGTGGTGTTGAGGAAGGTTCTCTGTTCAGGGTAAGGTGGGCTCTCCGGGGTGGCATGGGTTCTCATGAGTCTGGTAGAGCCGGGCTGCTGTCTTTTGGATGGTGAAGGGTGACAAATGGAGGAGCATCCAGAAGGTCCTCTTTGGCTACAGATAAGGTCAGAGAAATCAAGAAATTCATGACTGGTGCCTGGTGAGCAGAGCTGCGGTGTGGGCTGGTCACCAGAAGAGGAGGCGCTGGTGCTGAGCAAGGAAGTCTTTATTGATGTGAAATGTTGTTGGCAAACTATTAGCTATATGTCAATAGATATGGGCTTCAGGCAAAGGCCTGGGAGTGTCCCAGAAACACTCATCAAAGGACTAGGGACCTATGGGATGGGAGAAAGCCAGGGATTTCCAGGTCTGTGAGCAGGTAGAACACCAGACAGAGTACAGGGTCCATTCAGCTGTTGATACCTGTTTAGGTCCCCATGGGCTTGCAGACGTGTGTAGAGAGCCTGGCCTGCGCGCAGCATCTCTTCCTTATTCTTCTTGCCACTGCTTTCTTTACTGCAGCTGTGAGCATGCTCAGATCTTCCCCCAGCTGAAACCAACCTCTTCTTGACCTCCTTCTCCTGCAGCTAACCATCCATCTTTTGTTCTTTTCCCTGCCAAGCTCCTTCAAAGACTCATTTGCACCCACGACTTCCACCATTAACTACCTCTGCAAGCTTTAACCCAGGGGAGGCCCTCACACACCCACCTTTCCCACCAGGATTCTTCCAGCTCTCTTTTCCCTTCCTGTCACCAAATATGACTGTTTCCCTTTCAGGCTACTCAGCACCCCTCTTCCTGAAATGCCTCCTCTTCCCTTCTGGAAGCTTTCCCTCCTGATCCTGGTCCTGGTCCTGGGTGAGTATGTGTGTGTGTGTGGGAGGGTGAGTGCATGGGGGCATGACACAGCCAGTTTCCTAGCACCCTTCCTTGAGCACTCTTGCTTCCTCCAGGGGAAATCTTGTTCCCTGAGGCCTCTGTTCTTACCTGGGCTGAGATGACCAGATCGATAATCCAGGCTCCCGGTCTTTCCAAAGGCCCACAGAATCCCTGTCAGGGCCACATCCAACTTGAACTACCCATGGTCTGCACTGCCAGCATCTTTCTCATCCACCACGAGTGTCTCTTCTGGACCCATATCTACCTCTTGGTTTTTCCTTGGTCACTGTGCTTGGCCAGCCACTGAGCCTCGTAATTCTCCCATGTAAAATGTGCACATCTTCTCTGTTCCCTCCGCTTCCTCTCCTGCTCCGCTTCTCATAGTTTCAGACCAAGGCTGTGACTGTTGCTGACAGGTGGCCAGCCTCCACCTCCTTTTTTCCAGGCCCTTTGGGATTGTTTTTCTTTTCTTTTTTAAATTTTTTTTTAAAGATTTATTTATTTATGTAGATGAGCGCTCTATCTGTGTGTACACCTACATGCCAGAAGAGGGCATCAGATCTCATTACAAATGGTTGTGAGCCACCATGTGGTTTTCTGGGAATTGAACTCAGGACCTCAGAAGAAAAAACAGTGCTCTGAACCACCAAGCCATCTCTCCAGCCCCAGGATTGTTTTTCTAAGTGACATTGTCTTGGGTTAGGCTGAAGCTCCACGGCACAGGGCTGCCTAACATGCACAGGCCCTGGTTCAGTCCCCAGCACCACAAGAAATAGAGTAGCATCTTCCAGATCCTTCAGTCCCCCATTCAAAAGCCTCAAGAACTTTCAAATGCCAACAAAGTAGTCTATGATTGATTGCTTTACATGCTGGGATGCACTTTCATATCATAGGAGAGATAGGGCTGCTATTTCTCTTCCTGGATAAGAGAGCTGGGCTCAGAAAATGGGACCTGTTGGACTCACCATGCTATAGGTGGAGCTGAGACCTCTGGCACTATTGGTGTCCCACCTTGGAGGCTTGCTCACTGGCACTATGTTGCCCAGACTTAGGATTGGTGCCCTATCAAGCCCCTCAGCTTGCCCAAGATACAGCAAACTTATACCTTCCCTTACATGCGCTGTTTGTTCTGTCTACCTACAAAGCGCCTTCCCTTGCCACCCATCCTTCTCCACAAACAGAGCATCTTGTCCCTTCTCAAGCCCAGGCTCAACTTCCTTTCTCTGGAAACCTTCTAGCCAGTGCCTGCTCAGCAAGTTCTGTGCCTAATCTGAGGCACCTAGAACACACAACCCTGAGCTCTGGCACACCCAAGCAGGTGGGGCGACCCACCCCATCTTCACAGTGGGCTTCCGGCAGCACTGCTGAGTAAATGAAGGAATGGGTGGTCTGCTGAGAGGTTCTCCTTCGGGGAGAGCTCAGCTCCTCCTGAGCCACAACACCTCTGCGGTGTGGGTTCTAGCTCAGTCAAGCACATGGCTCTGCTTCGGCCTTGCTCAGTCTTGGCTTGTCTGTGACTGGGGCTATGGGCTCCAACTTTGCTAGCTCCCAGGTATGTGGTGAGCATGCCAAGGATGCTGAGCGTGGGGAAACAGTCATGAGTGCAAGCTGCTGTAATGTGTGCAGAGCCTTTCTTGTGCTCCCTCAGGGTATGCTTGCATCCTGTCTTTCTTCCTGTGAGATGGAGAGAGCTGGAAGCCAAGGACTCTCTCTGTCCCCCGGGGAACTTGGCAGATAGGGCCCAGAGCTTGGGAGATAATAGGGCCCAGAGCTCATATCACCTCCTGGTTCCTCCCCAGGCCTCAGCTGTGCCCTGGCTTACAGGGAAGTTTGGGTAAGTTTATTCGCTATCTGGGTTTCACTTCTCTGGTTTGTCCATGGGAGCATTGGGTTAAAAAACTCAGATGTTCAGTTTTTTGTTTTTTTTTTTCCAATATGGCAAATAAAATCTATGTTCAAACATAGTCATACAACAGATAAGAAAATCCACCCCCAAAACCCCCCTAAACAAAACAACTACAATAAAAACACCAACCAACCAACAACAACCCATATGTAAAATGGAAAATTTTGCTTAAAGCAAAAATGGCTCCCCAAGACCCCAAGAAACCCTAATCTTCCTTCCTCACCCTGGGACTCCTCTGCTAAGTCCTTAGTGTTTCTAGATCCGTACATGAGAGGGCGTGGCCTTCCTTTCCTCCATTGCCTTTGCTGTTCCACCTTTGCAGAAGCTCAGCTGCAGGTAAGAAAGACAGGTCAGAGGTCAGAGGTCAGAGGCATGCCCTCATCCTCCAGAGAGGACTATAAATGGGAGTCATTTGTGCTTGTGTCTGTAACTGTGAACTTTTTCCGGAGGTCCCTGCCTTCTTATCTCAGCTTACCCTCTGATATGTACAGTCACTGAGGAGAACGAGGTGAATGAATGATGACACTGGCTAAAAAGGCACCTCAGCCCCTTTCTCCAGGATTTAGGAACAGTTGGTGCCATCTGGAATGACCAGAACTAAGTGGCCCCGTTACTTACTCTCTGCCCATGTTCCCATCACACACAGATACAGGCTCCTATAGACTTGGTGTGTCCCTTCACAGAATTTCAGAACTGGGAAATTTCAGAGCTGGAAAAAAGAGAAAGGAGGAAGAGACCTACATTTCTGGTCTTCAAAGGCAGAGCAGTCTGAGACAGGAAAACGAAGGAGCTTCTAGGAAGTCGCTACTGGGATGGGCAGAACCGGAGAGGTACATATTTCCCTGCTCTTCTGCTCTTTGTTCTGACTTCAGGGTCTTATTTAGTCTCCTTGTCCCTGCAGTGCCCAGAATCATTCTGAAAACTTTGACACAGGAACCAGAATAATCTGCTTGCTTTTCTATTTCTTTTTGTTTTATGGTGAAAAAAAAAAAAAAAAAAAAAAAAAGGAACAGATTTCTTGCATTCTAAGCCAGCACCCTACAATTGAACTGAACTATACCCCTAGCCTCAGGAGAGGGCATTAGCTTTGCTTTGTTTGTTTGTATGTGTGTTTGTTTTGTCTTTTCTTGTTTTGTTTTTCAAGACAGAGTTTTTATGTGTGGCCTTGGCTGTCCTGGAACTCACTCTGTAGAGCAGGCTGGCCTCAGACTCAGATCCCCCTGTCTCTGTTTCCCACGTGCTGGGATTAAAGGCGTGTGCAACCACCACTGCCCAGCTTGGTTTTAGCTTTTTTTTTAGATAAGGTCTCACTGTGTAACCCAGGCTGGCGAGGAACTCACTGTATAACCTAGGCTGGTCTTGAGTTCCTGCTCTTCCTGCCTTAAAGATGAAAAAACAGGCATGTATTGTTGTGCCTAGCCTCAGAGGAGAATCTACAGTGTCTCCCATGAGTCCACCCAAACCTCAACACTCAGCCTTTCTCTCCTTGTTGGTGTCCAAAAGAGTGGGCAGGCTTCTGGGGGAGTTTGGGAGCAATGTGGAGGGCTCCAGAAAGGAGACGGTTCAAGACTGCTGAGCAGGGCATTGCCACCTCTGCCCTCTTACTTCTATGCCTGCCATGCCCAGCAGGCCCACAGTGCCAGCAGAGAAACCAGGGACTTGGAAGGAAAAAGACAGGACTGAGAGGAATTTGGGTGAAGACTGGGGCCCTGGAGCCTTTTTACTTACTGTGATGCCGTCTTGCCTCAGAGTCGCATGCTTAGTCTAAAGCTTTTCACTTGGGCACCTTTAAGAGCACTCAAGCCTAGTACCTGTGGGATTTGGTCCCCACATAGCTCCACTATCAGCACAGGGCAGATTTCAGCCTTTTGAACTTTGGACTCTCCTTCCCTCCCCTTTTCCCCATTGGCCTGGCACTGCCAACTTGCCTTTTTTTTTTTTTTTTTAAAGATTATATGACATTTTATTTATTTAGTGCATGTGCCTGTGTGGGGAGCACCACAGTGCGCATGTGGAGGTCAGAAGGCAGCCTCTGAGAGAGACAGTTCTCTTCTCCCACGTGGTGGCTGCTGTGGGATCGGACTGAGGTTGCCAGGTTTGGCAGCAACTGCATGGACTCCTGAGCCATCTTGTTGGCCTCCTGCTCTCCTTTTAAGTAACTGTTCTGTAGAGACTCTCCATAAGGCCGCTTATGCAGCTCTTATAGTCGGAGGGGCTATTCCTGGCCCACCTGGCATCCGGAGAAGGAAACCAGGGCTCTGCTGGAGGCAGGGAGAACCATGGAAGGCCATGTGGCTGTGGGAGGAGGGGCATCTAGTCAGAGATCTGGGGCATGTGTGAAAAAACGGCATCACATCTTTGGCTCAGCGCCTACTCCAGCCACTTGGCTCCTCCTGCTCAGCCTGTCCTTCCCACAGTGTCCTCCTCTCCCCCAAGCCGCTGGCTGCCCAAAGCTGGGTTTGCCATAAAATTGACAAGAGGCAAACGCAAACTTAGGAGAGGACCGCAGATATAACTCAGCTGTAGAATAGTTGACGAGCGTGCACAAGGTCCGAGTTCTAGTCCTCAGCACCAGACCAAACAGAACTAACTAACCAAACAGCAAAACATTCATTTGCCCAGCACTGCTGGATTGCATCTACCATTCCAGCATTGGGAAGGCAGAGCTAAAATGACTAATGAGGCCATCCTGGGACACATTGCAAGTCTTTGTATTAAAAAAAAAAAAAAAAAAGAAAAGAAAATTAATTAAGAGAAAGGCTTTATGCCTTAAAGGCCTTGAGCCAAGGAAAAAAAGGGTCAAGAGGCAGAGATGCCACACAGACCTCAGTCTCATGTTGGCATGGTGTGGGCAGGGCAGAATGTCAGCTTGCTCTAAGGAGCAGGGAGGAATGAAAGGTAGGTAGGAAGGGCACCTGTCAGCTAGCCTTTGTGGAAGGACTGCTGTTTTGTCATGGATCCTTGTTCTCTGAGGATGGAAAACGAAGATGTTTTTTTCCCTTCATTGTGCTTCCTCCTCTGAAGAAAACCCGAATAGCCCTCACACTTCCTCCCAGCTACCCAGGTTCTAGAAACTGCACCCTACTGTGATCGACAGCAAATTCCAGCACAAGTAGCTCTTCCTTCTGCGGGCAGAACCCTCCTCCTCACCCCGAGATCCACCAAGGGGCAGTAGGATTGGGGGTCCCCCAAGCCTGACACACACAGCTCTCCCAGTGACTGTGCACTGCAGGCCCTTTCCCAACACAGACAGGATTTCTCGGGGTGGCATCTCTGTAAGGCACCGAGAGGGAAGGCTTGGGGCTGTGCACGTGAAACTGGAAGTGATGAGGTGAGGGCTAGGGGCACCGTGGGGGAAGGCCCCGGCGGGGGCGTGGTCTTCTTAAGGAGCCGATGCTGGCTGGAGTCCTTGGCAAGTTCCTTTCGTCCCCCAGCCTGCTTCTTTTTCTGGAACACAGGAGATTGGACTAGGCACTGCGTGGTCTTAGGTGCTGGATTAGAAAGGACGGGAAGAGGGGGTGGAGAAAGGAGCATAGTAGTGGGACGCTGACAGCTGGGCCCTTCCTCTGAGCCTCAGCATCCCCATCTGCAAAATGGAAATTGCTAAGAGCCTGAAAAGCATTCTGAACACGGATGAGAAAGGGATATTATGACTCAGGATACCGCCTGCAAAGTAACGTGTGTGCTGGAAGCCTGTGCGTTCCTGACAGCGCGGGGACTGGTTTCCTGAAAAGAGTAGGTTTTGGGATTAGGGGAGAGGCCAAGATGCCAACCCGTTGGTGGTTGTAGGAGGTCAGAGAGGGGCCTTCTTGAGTCCCGCAGGTGATTTGGCCTCGGGCTGCCGCCTGCCGCATTGGGAAGGGAGGGAGGAAGGGCACACGGGAGGCGGCACCTCGGTACTGTCCCGAGGCTGGATTCATACATCACACCAGCCGAGAAGCTCACGTTTTCCCAGCTTTTCTCACACAGAATCACTTCCTTTGTTTAGAGGAGGGGGTGGGGGAGGAGACGGAGGGCGACAAGGGAGGGGCCCGCGGGTGCCGCCGCCGCCCCCGCCCCCTCCTCCCGGTGTGCGGGAGCCGGATTGTCACTCAGCTCCCGCGCCGCGCCGGGGGGCGAGGAAGGCGCTGGCGCCAGAGTGGAGAGTCTCGGCTGGCTACCACCTCCTGGAACTAACAGGCTAGCCCTGGCTTCTCCCGACGTCCTCCAAGGGAGCGACTCATCCAGGCTTCGAGGTCTGGGGCTACTTGGGTAGACAGTTCAGGTGGCCAGCAGCTCGGCCAGCTTTGGTGTGACCTTGGGTAAGTCTGTGCCTCAGTTCGTGCACCATGGGTGTGCAGGAGAGGGGTGGATGAACCGACTAGAACGACCGCCCTGGGGCAGTCGATGGGCCAGGATTCTGGGCAGAGCTGGAGCGGGACCAGGAGACTGCTAAGAGTCGGGCACTAGCGGAGTCCCAGGTGGGTGGGCACAGGGTAGGCGTGCGCGCTAGCGGGGAACGGGAGCCCACAGACCCGCCAGGTTCTGGGCTTAGTCCCTCAGACTCACGCCTGCCATCCAGTCCCAGGTACGAAACAGGGGCACTACCTCTTTAAAAGCGTCCGGGGCTGAACCTCTGCGGCACCATGTGATTGCTTGAAAGGCCGGGCTGGGAGCGCAGCGGCGGGAGCCTGGAGAAACGATGAGCCGATGCGCGCACGGTGCCCAGAGCCCAGCCCTGCCTGGCTCGGTTCCGGAAAGCTTCCCGGGGAACTTAGGGCAACGCCTTTGGGATCCCCTTCTGGTTGGCAGGCAGGATGGTGAGCTCCCTGCCTCCGGGTCGGCGGACACCTGTGGGCATTGTCGATGCATAGGGGATCCTTCCGGAGTGGGTGTGCTGGAAGCCACCTCACACCTCACAGAAGCCAGTGGTGGAGTGAGTGCTGCTATTTTAAGTTGCTGAATGGAACCTCTGAGGACAAGGGGAGGGGACAGAGGTTAAGCAGCTAGCGAGTGCCTGGCCAGCCTGGGCAGGCACTGCGTCTGCTAACTGGGGCACATCTTCGCAGGGCTGCCTATGTCCCCCTCCTTCCCAGGCTGGCACCCGCACCGCAGACTTCCTGGCCACAGGTGTTGGCCTCGTGCCCCAGGGCGCCTGTCTGCTGATGTGCCCAGCTCCTGCCCACCATGCCGCCCTACATCTCAGCCTTCCAGGCTGCCTACATTGGCATCGAGGTGCTCATTGCCTTGGTCTCTGTGCCCGGAAATGTGCTGGTGATCTGGGCTGTGAAGGTAAACCAGGCGCTTCGAGATGCCACCTTCTGTTTCATCGTATCACTGGCGGTGGCTGATGTGGCCGTTGGCGCCCTGGTCATCCCACTGGCTATCCTTATCAACATCGGGCCACAGACCTACTTCCACACCTGCCTCATGGTGGCCTGTCCTGTCCTCATCCTCACCCAGAGCTCCATCCTGGCCCTGCTTGCTATCGCTGTGGATCGGTACCTCAGAGTCAAGATCCCTCTCCGGTGAGTTCATAGCAACTAAAGGTACTCTGTGAAACCCTGTGTTGGGTGGCTTAGGGATGAGCTAAAGAAGATTTTTTTTAAAGTGCATAAGCCTCCTAGGCAGCCAGTAGGTATTCTCTGGCCGTTGGATCCTAGCCTACCCTGCTTTCCCGGGCTCTGTGTCAGGGATGCTCAGCTGACCTGCAGTTAGAAAGGCAGGAGGGGGCTGGGTGTCTGGAGAAGTACCATCATGACAGTGTCCATGACCTCAGTGCTGTAGCCTCTGCAAGCGGGGAGCCTGAGGCAGCTGATGAGGTAGGGCCTGGAGTGGGGTTGGAGCATTTGGAGGGCCCTAAGATAGGACAGTCAGTGTAGGGTTGGGAATGATCTGGGTTCTACAAGTCCCAGGGAGGAGGAGAGAAGAGCTCCAGGGAGAGTTGAGGACATGTTGAGGGTGGCACAGTGGTGCCAAGGGTGCTGCTGCTTCTTGGACCAGACCAGGCTGACTTCCGGAAGACACTCTTTAGCTCACTTGTTCTGCAAATGTTTCTGTACCAGCCAGCTCCACCCTCCAGTCTGTCCTGCTGAGCCCAAAGGGTTAGTTGCTTTTGCCCAGCTCCCACTGAGGGGATCTCTTTTGCAAGCAGGGAGAATGCTGGTGGCTGCCCATCCTGTTCTGGCTGTCGCCTGTAGAGGTGCTTTTGCTGTTTCTAGGCAGCCTAGAGTAGGAAGCTTAATGGTGGCAGTCCTCATTGTGGGGGGTCCATCTACCTCAAGGCTGCCTGCCCAGGCCTACCAAGCCATAATCTTGGCACCAGGCAGTGCCTGGGTCACCAAGTGCCAGCAAGTGCCTGGGCACACTGCCAGGAACTGGCGCTGCTGGGACACTCTTTTGAGTGTGCTTCCCCCCCTTTGAATTCTTGTTGCCAGTAGATTTTCTAATGGTGAGCTTTAGCCATCTCTAGCACCTGCCAATCTATGCAGCTTCCTAGCTCCCATATCTGGGACATGGAGCCTCTGATCTCATTTGGCAGTTTGCCTGGGCAGTCCTAGGCACCCAGAGTTCTCCCTTTGGTCACATTTATGCATGTTAACTTTTCCAGCCTCTTTTCGTGTCACACATTCCCTGGGTCCAGTGAGGGAGGTGGAGCAGGAACTGGAAGAGGGGAAGCAGGTTCAGAGGATCTCCCAGAGCCAGGTGTGGATAGCTCAATTCAACCATGTCCTCCCTCTGCTTCCTGTGCCTAGGACCCTGTTGCCAGCCTCTTGTTCCCATCCCTGATGAGCCTCCCTCACAGCCACCAAGTTTCACAGGGTTGGTGGGGTGCAGGCTGCTGCTGCTCAGGGGAGAAGGAAACACAGTCCAGAGGCCACATAAGTTCAGCTCCCAGAGCCTTTCATGCTGCCATTAAACCCTGGTTGTTGCTGGCCTGCATCAGTCAAGCTGGTCTCAGGTCCATTAGATGGGCTGGGCCCCAGTGCCCAACCATTACAACAGCGTGGCCACATTAGGAATGCACACAGATGGGCAGACGGAGGAAGGCTGCTCAAGGGAGGCTGCCTGCTGAGCGGGTGCCAAGGCAAGTTAAAGGCTCTATCCTGCTGCATGGAGGTCACAGGCCTCAGAATGTGCCCTCTTTACCCCGTGGGCCTGGGGAATGGAGGTGGCCACAATGGTAGGAACTGCAGGCTCATTCCTCCTAGAGGCAGCTGCTGTCGCTTTGAAGGTGGCGGTACTGGTGAACTGCCTTCTGAGAGTTAGAGGTGGGACACAAGTAGAATTTAATGCAGGCATGGGCTTGAATGCTTTTACAAATGACTAGCAGTGTCACCTGGAGAGAGTCACCTATTTAACCTCTTGAAACTTTAATTTCATCTATAAAGGGGGACAGAAATAATAGAATGACTGCCTGGGGTTCCTAGAAGAATATATAGCAATTAGCATTATGCCGGACATATTGTTTGCAGGCCATAAATGGCAAGTTTAGCTTTATTATTAATAGATGGCTGAATTGGGGCTGAACAGGCAAGCTGTTTCCCCAACCCAAGCATGTGTTCTCTTAAATGGATACGTGCACAACACAGTCCAAGAAGGTGTCAGAAGACTGTTAAGTTATATCTGTATGTGTTTTCCCTGCTCTAACGGACTGCCAGTTCCTCAAAGGCAATAGCCTGGGCAGCGACCACATCTTGTCTGTTTTTGTGAATTACCCAGAATGCCCAGCAGCAATGGATAGTTCTTGGCACCCTGTAAATGTTGATAGAAATGACTGGACTACCAGATCACATGGGTGAGTCTCAAGAAGGCTTTTGGGGGGGGGGGGATAACCTTTATCCTTTTTGCTGTAGACTAGACTGGTCCCCCACTCTACTTCAGAGATCTTCCCACAGCTGTCCTCACTTGCTCAGCAGTGTTCCTGGGAGCATTCCCCCCACCATGAAGAACTTCAAGTTAAAGCCTAGCTTCTAACGAGACTCCTCGGCCAAGGTGCCAATCACTCTAGACCAGATCTGTCATTGCCCAGGTACCCGGCGAGAGGTACAGAATGCTCTGTATCCTTCTGGGTAGCTGCAGTCAGTGAGATGCCAGGCTTTTGAGCCCTCAGGCACCTGGATCCCTGCCCTGACATGTTAGGCAAAGGTTGATGTGGCCCTTGGCCCAGAGAATAATGCCACTAAGTGTCCGCGAGGAGTGCCTGGGCATCTGGATGTAGAAGTCAGGCAGACCTTCATAGACTAAGGATTAGGTTGGTGGGTCAGCCACAGGTTTTATTCCCTTCCATTTCGCAGAAAGCTGACAGAGAAAAAGAGATTCACCTCATACAGTGTGGCCCACTCACATTATTTCTGAAGTTGGAGTAGTTGATTTTCAATAATTTGTGGTCTTTTGCGTGCTGCATCCTACCTACCCATGCTTGGTAACTGAGAAGCTATCCCCCACTCCTCGTTCCAGGGACTCTTCATTGTTTATCTTCCCACTCCTCACCCAGGGCTGTCTTGGCACTCTGCAATAAATTAGTGTCTGCTCCAAGGTGCTCCCTGCTTCTGTGAGAATGCTGTCCTTGGCCAGGTGGGTTGCAGTGAAGCGAGTGTTGGCAGGGTCCGGGGGGTAGACCTCAGTTTGGACCTTGCTGTGTTACCAGATAACTGCAGCCTTGGAAGCCGCTCCACCTTCGCAAACGTTTCTCTCTGCTGTAAATATGATCCATTCAAGGTCACCGAGGTTCCTTTTGGCTCTAACCCTCTGTGGTTCTTCCTCCTCCTGGTTTCTGCCAGTGCTGTCTTGGGAACCCTGGGCAGGTTTTGTGTTGGGTTTTTCCACTCCTAGTGATTGATCATGTGGTAGCTGTGTTTTGTTTTGTGTATATTTTATCCCATTGACCATTTGGAGCCTCTCAGTAGTGGAGGCTACTGCCAGCCTCGTTCTACAGTTCTTCAGATAAACTGAGGTGAGAGGCCTGAAAGATTCAGTAATTCTCCTAGGCAAACTGCTTGTCCAGGCCCCACTAACAGATGCCTTTAACCTGTAAGCACACGCTCAGACCTAAGCAGCTGTCTTGTTGGCCCCTGTTTCCTCAAAGCACCAGGTGCTTCGTCCCCTCTTGCTTTTGCCAGCACTGTGTACTGGCTTGGCTCACACTCAGCCGCCCCCCCCCCCCTCTACTGGACAGTTGAGTTCCTGGAAGCCTTGCTGCTGTCCACACCTGGAGGCTTGTCTGGGAGGTAAGGCATGTTGGGCTGAGCTTGGAAAGGAAAAGAAATCTGCTAGATTAAGATTTGTTTGCTTTAGGCCATTGATTTAGCAACCCCTGATCTGGTTTAGGCCTTGTTTATCTTTTTATTCGACAACCAAAATGGTTAATGCACTGCCAACACCCGAGCAGCCATCTGTGACCTCTGTGTCCCAGGACAGTTGCTTTGAGTCTCCATCTGCTTCTAGAAGAAGCAGGGTGTCTCCAGCTGCTCTAAGGATGCGTTAGTCATAGGATAGAGTGCATGAGGCAAAAAAAAAAAGCAGCCAGAGGAAGCCATCGAGAGGAAACCAAGGGCCAGGGAAGCGGGGCCTTGTTCAGGGTCACTGGCTGGGCACTCTATGCTCTTCCCAGATCACACTCTTCTCAGTGTGGAAACAAAAAATGCAGCTGCAGTGGACTGGGTTAGTGGATGAGTGCTAGGCTGTGGGCCACGAGGGAGGCCGCTCTCTGTTCGTGCTGGGGCAGCTTGCAGGTGCTTATGTTAGATGCAACTGAACCAAGGTACATGGTTTTCCTGGAAGAGGTGTCTGGGTTCGTTTCAGGGGTGAAAGCATTCCTTCTCCCCACATTGGGATGGCTTCCAAAAAGTCTTTGTGTGCCTGTGAGGCTACTATACTGAGGAACTTTGTGGTGAAGCCCACCCAGGGCCCCTGGGCTGGAGCCTGAGGGGCTGCACCCTGATGTTATTTGAGAGTGTTAAAGCACCATGCTGATTGCGAGGAATGTGGAGAAGAATAAAGACAGACAAATCCCCCAGTACTTCTTCCACCTACAGAGGACGACTGTTAACATTTTGGTGTTCCAGAAAAATTTTCCACACATATGTGTATATATTTAGCTGTATTATTTCTGCATATGGCATATAGATATCTATATATGGCTTTAAATCCCATTTTTTTTACTTAACATTACATTACAAACATTTATGCATGTCAACTAAAATTATTTTGTGAGAGTTTTTATTACAGTATAAGATTGTATTATTATCCATCTTTTAAGTTTCAGCTAAAATAGCCTGTCCTCGGGGAATCCACCTCCCGCCCCTGCCAGCCAGCTTCACTTTGTCTGTTGGGTGCTCAGAATGGATGTGTGCCTCCTTCCATATTACTTCAGGCCCAGGGAGCTTTCTATTTAAAACTGCTCTCTGGGGTCTGAGGAAGCCCCAGAGTTCCAGGACACTCTGCTTACATACTCAAGTATCTTCCACATCTGGCATGGGGTACACATGCTATAACATCTTTGGGATAAATTAACATCTGGGTAGCA